TTTTTCATCACCTTATCATAGTCTTAAATATTACCCCGGAGAAATGGCGACGACTTAGTTATTTTACCTAGGAACATGTATTTTTATTATCTGACGACCTGAACAAGAGGATGTTTGCATATTTACTACATCAATTCTTAGTATATGCTGACCTAGATTTACCGTGTATTAGTTCGCAACCAACATTAGGTTGTCACAACGCAGCCGCCGTAACCCCCGCTACCTTTCGTATTATACACTGAATAGCCTGAGACATTATATATAATCTTATGTGAAACATTTTAGCCATCTATAACTAGTCAATGTATCTGGTGAAGTATTTACTTAACTGGACAACCTTTTACAGAACACATTTTGGCAATATTAACATCTTGATCTTGTCTGTAAATTTGCTTGTCTCCTGTATCATGTTGTTATTCGGAAATAAATTATTATTAGTTAATAACTTGCTTGGATTGTGAACAGATGATTTAAGACTGTGTGTGTAAATACCTACAGATACGCATACAAACTCTCTTCTATGAGTAGAATTCTATACCGCCTGGCCCTGACTTCGTTACTTAATACACTAGGACACAGTAATGATTTGATGTAAATTTTTTGGGAAAAGACACACTTATATACATATACACTTTCGTATACAGAAGCCAATAATCTGATATATTCATAAGAGTTTATTTAATTATGTTAGTTCATCTTCCGGTATGTAGAAAAACTCTATTGGATTGACCTCTCACAAGTCTTGAAGGAATATCAAAAAACAGTAATAATGAAGTTTGATAGCTTGTTGATAGAAAATTTTCATTGTTATAAAAATAAATGCATTCAAAGGATACCAACTAATAATTGTCTCGGTTTCACAATAATATAGGAAACGATTGCCTAATTATATTCTTACCAATCACAGGAGAGACAAAAAATAGTTATCTTAAAATCCATGGATTTGATTGGTTAATTTTTTTCTCCCAGTATCCAGTTATGCATAGAATCATTATTTCTTTTATTAGAACTTTCCATATTTATAACTGCTCAATATTCAATGTTTCCTTCACTAGCTAGTATAAACCGACTGAATTCTCTGAGCTCGAATCTTGTTTTTTTTGGTATGTTTCTCATGTATTTGGTAATGTTACTGTTAGAGTACGAACTGAACAATTCCGGATAATTACTACCGTGTATATAGAGTGAAAATACTCCTGATTATCACAAATCGCTATCCTATAAAGATATCCTACAACATGTTAGCCCAGCAACTTTCAACATTGCAGCTGTTTTATCTCTTTCGTCTCTTTTCAGTACCCTATCAAAAGTGAGCAACCTTAGAGCTTATTCTTACGCCAAATTCACCTTACGTACAAATTCTTCAAAGTCACAGCGTGTACTAAAAGCCTGCCGATATACACTTTCTCATAGATATGAACGTACTAACCTGTTCCGTGATGCGAATACACTGCAGATGGATCGATTTGAGCACTGTCTCGCAAATCACTCCTGAATTATGATTTCCACCAAATAACTATTCTGAATAACTACTCTATTTGAAATTACTCGTTGTAAATGCTATTTATCAGACTGATCATGTCTGTAAAATGACATGTACCTGCTATGACAGAGAAACTACAATAATAGTATTATTATTATGTAAATGAGCTACCTATTACAGTAAATGTGACAGTATCTGCAACAGTTTGATTGTGTCTGCAAACTGGCATGTCTCATTGAACACACTGCCATCAGAGAATTATTGCAATCATACTAATAATATTTATTATTATTATCTGTTATATCAGGTATACTATTGGCTACTGTTACGTCATTGAACCGTCACACAGGAAATAATTTTATCCCAATCTATTTTAAAGACTTTGATTACATAGGATATTAAGGTAACCCTGAAACTACTTACTGGTCAGTCCGACTATAATAAATCGACACTAGTGGAGGAAAGAAACCACCTTATCACCATTTAGGTTAGCCAGCAAGTGTAGGATCCAAACTGAGGTTTGGAGTGAGGAAGTAGTTTAAATACGCGCCTTGACCAGTTTAAAACCGAGACAAGTGTTTTGGGCAAATAACGGTTCTAATATTCATCACAAATTTACATCATTACCTAAACAAATATTACCACAGCTATCCCACCATCAATTGTTCAATTATTCAAATAAATGATATTCTATCCCTCCTGGATAGATCAGATTCGTTCGACAGATAATATTTGGTTGCTTTATAACACAGAGTGTTTCCTATTCTGGAAGAGTGCTTCAATTCACAATCAAAATGCACAATTCCAGTCAACGCAACTGATGTAATCAAAAGAGGAACAAATCAATATGGCTGTCACCATGACTAAGTATCAGCTTAAACAACATAAATGCAGTTCAGAAAGAAACATAGAAACTCAGTAAAGGCAGAAGAAATAGAAACTATAATAAAATACAAATATTATCATCTCAAAATGGAATCGAACAGATTAACAAAATGTACAACTGAAAGAATCGATAAGCACAAATTAAGAATGTATACACTGAGGGATTTTCACAAATAAAACCTTCAAAAATGGATCTTACAGCAACAGAGAGAACACTTATCAACTGGAACACTACTCGATTTATTCCTGATTCGATTTACGAAAAAAAACACATGAATAAATGTTTTACTTTGAAGGAACACAACGCACAAGGATTTGAGAAAAATACAATTATGTCCAAATTAGATGTTAAAGTATAAAGTTACGTTTAAGTAACAATAATTTTGACATAAAACAGAGTAAAACAATGAATCATACATCAACTGAAAACTTAAGATTTACAGAATAAAATAAGAACAAAGATAATCATTTAATACTCAAGAGGCTTCAAATTAGACATGATAATATTTCCAAAATAAACTTCCGGTGTTTAAGGTTATTAGAAGCAGAAAGTAAAACAAATCTAGCGTTCATTTAACAGACTTATCAAAAAATAATCATGAGTATAAGATGTAACAAGTGATCAAGTGTACACATGCTCATACAAACCTTATCATAATGTGGTGTGAGCTACTTATAAGTAGTATATGACGTGAGTGTCAACGTAATATCTGGCAGCAGAAGATGAGGGAAGATCAAGAAAGGAAGAGCGGGAACACAATGGAATTTGTATGAAACGCATGAATAGTGAAATGTCAGACAATGGATTGATATTTTGCATATTAACGATTTACGATATGGTTTTTCTATTTTACTGAGTAACTCTGTAATTTTCGTTAAATACAATCCGGTTGACCCACCTGTGTTCTCGTTCACTACAATAATAGTAATAATAATACCACAAACATAACAGACAAAGTGTTACTGTCCAAATTGACAAATCACACTCTCTGTTAAATAAATCATTTGATGCATTTAAACAAATTCAATCAAACAACAAGCTCAAAAGTTTAATTGAAATACAAATAATCTAATTGAACACTTGAACTAATGGAAATTTAAACAAAATTAAAAGGAAAATGAAAGAATAATTTATTTAAGACAAAAAAGAAAAAACTATTCTCAAATACAAATTTTTAATGAAAAGATAATCTTAAATTATAATAAATTAACACATTACAACAAACATTCAATAATATGTTTGTTGCATGCGCAAAATTTGAATTTCCTTCCATAAATGAATGAGTAAATATTAACAAATAGTTAATTGACTATTAGCGTTACATTTTTTTTTCTAACGAGTTAATTTTCTATGGTACAGAGTCGACAACCTCTTGACCAAACTTCTTTTAGTGGCTCCAGTTCAGGGAAAAAATACTAAGTAAGTAGCGTTAAATGTTTCCTCAATTTTTCCCTTAACTTATAAAAACTTTACAAAAGAATTCTTTCCGGCTCCCAACATAAATGGAATCAATATCAACATTATTAATTACAGGTAAATTAGTTCAGATAACAGTTTGGGAAAGAAAATAGTAGCTTACAATTTTGAGAGAGATAAACATATGTCATCATCTAAGGTGATCATAACTAAAAAATAGAAATAAAAACACTGATTCTTTATAGGATAATTTTAAAAGTTATACCACTTTAATGCATTCTTTCCTACCCAACGTTTCTCTTTTAACCAGACTTTGGAAAATCGGGTTCCAGTGAAAGAAGAATTCAGCAAGAAGCCCTAAAAGTGAATATGACATATACACATTAAAGAAAGCATCCAACTGCAT